ATGATTAACTATGAAAGATAGTTTACCTTCATGCCAATACAATTCTCCACAAAAAGCACTTTCATCAGCTTGAAAGGACACACACAAAAACCTGCTGCAGGTTTAAAACCTGCTTCCATTAAACCAGTTAAGCTTCGACTGGGGTCCAGTGCTTCTCCTTCCTGCAGCTCAACTGATGCTCAAGTGACAGAAAAGGAAAGCCCAGAAGGATCTTGTACTAGGAGAAAACGGCCACCTTTTGGGATATTTTCTGAGAGGCTGGATTGGAAGAAAAAACAATCTGAAAACAGTGTCTGAGAGGTATAAAAGAAAGTCTGCCTTACCTATGTACTAGCAGGAGCACTTCAGGGTTTTTTAAATACACAAGTTTTTTCAGCCATTTAAACCAGTAAGGTGCACTCACAATGTATTTCACTAAGGCAAGTTGTGAGCAGTTAATAGTGTTTCTGGTTAAAAAATACAAATGCGTGTGTGGTTTTTGCACCTAAAGGATAAAATCCTTTAAAAAAATAGATTTTTCAAAGATTTGGGATAGAGTCAAGGAGGCATACCCAGCTTTTGACACAAATCTCTTGCTTAGGTTTTGTCAAGGCCATTGACACAATACATCCTGCATTCTCACCCACCTGGCTGGCTGAATCTAGACCAGAAACTCCCCTGCGTGCTGTGCCTTTGAGCTCAAGCCCCAGAAAATTTGTGACAAGATTAGTTCCAGCAGAAGCTAGTGTACAGCCCGCCGAAAGGGTGAGTATGAGCAAACGAGCGGATCAGAGCCCAGCAGCAGCGAGAGTGGCTGGAAGGGGACCAGGCAGCAGCTGCTTCACACTGACCTTGCCTCCTGCTGGTCCTCCTCAGAGGCACCAGCCCTACTTCTGCTAATGATAAACCTTGGCAAACTGGCCTCTCAGCCTCATTAATGTAACTAGTATCTCTTTACTTCATCCTTATCTTCTCTTTCATTGCCCAAAGTGGTTTAATATTTTTAATGACAAAGGAGCCTGTGTACGTTCTTGCTAATAAATATTTGCAAGCACATGAATTCTCTAACTTTCATTATGAGCTGTTTTCATATTACTATGTAAACAAATGCCCTATTTTTTCCCCAAAAAACCTCTGTTTCACCAGCTTGAAATCAAAATTTTCATGAAGCCGTCACATCAGCACTGCTCAAGAGTTACACATACTTCCATTACATTTTATGGTGATTTTTGGAACAAATTGGACCATACTTGTAAAATTCCTGAAATGTTACTGAAATGTACTGAGCAAGTAGAAAAAAATTCTTTCTTGTGATGGGGAAATTACTATCTCCAGTAAGGGCATCTAAAAATTTGGAGAGCTTAATGCTGTCAAATTGGAACCTCAGAAATACTATGCTCTGTAACAAGTGTCTGGTGGGGGACTAACCACTGAACAGCCAGTGCTACAAGTTGTATATATACTCACCAAAAAAAAAAAAAAAAAAAAAAAAAAAGGAAGACAGCATAAGCTCGTGTTAGAAAAAGCCAAAATAAAATGGAATTTTCCCTGATTAATTAATTTTATAATATATAAATATTACAATACATATACTCAGAACACAGATAAAAAGAGCGATCTTTTTATGAGCTGAGCTATATCCTTTCCAAATGATCTTTACTAATTTAGAAATCACTTTTTGTCTCCATCCATTACTTTCAATTATCTGCATGAGAACAGCTGCCTGTTAAAGCAAAAATTATTTTTTTTTTAAAAAAAGGAAAATGGCCTTTTCCACATGGGGACCTTTCTTAATGAAATTAAAAGCAGACAAGCTACTCTCTGTTGTGCAAAAAAACATGTGTTGAACACAGGGACGTGAAGCTGAAGATCAGCAGTTACGGTTGGCTGCATCATTATGTCTCAAACTGAATGTCACCCACATAGCCACCAGTGCTTGGTGTCACGCTGGGAGATTTAGCAGGGCAGGGAGGGGAGGTACTGCGGAGGTCTAAGAAAAATCAAAAGAGAGAAGTTAATAAAGCTGATGCCACCTGGAACCACATCTAGTCTGTACCACCCCCAAAGATGCAGCCTGAAAAGGGTCTGTCCTTTCAAGATGGGCTGGGTGAAGGAAGGGGAGCAACATCACCTAGGGAGGGTGTTTTTGGCAATGATATTAGAAAGAAAGGAAAAGAAAACACAGAGAGAGGGAGAGAACAGAAATGTAAAAGCTGGACCTCCCAGCAGGACTGGGAAAATCTCAAAGTAAACCAGGGAAAATCAGTAACATAATGCATGAGCAGTTTTGCCCTCAGCCACAGTAGATGCCTGCTAAGTTCTTATTTGAAGGCCAATGGACTAGCACTGTCTCTTCTGCAGAAAGCAGAAAGCCTAGCTGCTAGTTTCCTGGTTTTAATCCACAGCTCTCATACCCCAAGAAAGCAGTCCATTTACTCAAATTTGGGGTAAAATTGGTGGGAACACCTCCCAGCCTTTGGAAGCCAGCCATTGTGCAGGCAAAAATGCTAACTGCTGAGAACAGGTGAAGAGGAACAATGAGTGTCCTTACAGATTAACAACCCTGTGGTTAGAGACAAACACCACCATTTTTAAGCTGTTGTCTGGGCACTGAGCCCAGTTCTGCGGGCAGTGCTGCAGCCCTCTTACAGGCACCAAAAGCCCTCACGAGAGACTCATAGATGCTGTAAGATTGTAAACATCCTCAGGTAGGTCTCTTCCAACCTAATGATTCTATGATTCTGTGTGGGCACCCAAATCTCCTCCACTCACAAGGAACTTATATCAGTACCATAAACCACCAACCTAATGATTCTATGATTCTGTGTGGGCATCCAAATCTCCACTCACAAGGAATTTATATCAGTACCATAAACCATCTCTGAGAGGCAAGAGCTGAAATCATAAGTATATGTTGTCATGTTCAGAACTTTAGTGTTTTCCTGAGATCTAGCTATTATCATACTATCAGTTGTTGTATTAGATCAGCGCTAGAATCATGTAGCCATTTCTCACACAAGCAAAACCTGTTTCTGTTAAATCGGTGAATACAGTACTTCCTTCTTCAGAACAAAGATGTCTTAATAGAGATATCCCAAAATGACAAGTATTTTACAGCAAACTGTGGTATTTATTAGGTTAGGGTAAAAATACCAATTTATCAGTACTTTAAAACATACGACATTGTTCTTTCAAATAGAGGAAGCAAAACTGAACATATCCATTCTGAAATTAACTTTTCCATCTATCTAATTCAGTGCACTACATGTTTAGTTCTGTTTACTACATAGCTTTTAAATAAAATAATTTTGGCTTTCATTATATCAACCACATTTATTAATGGACTTATTACATCCTTGGTACTTCAGTAATAGGTACCATAAGTAATTTATAAGGTGTAAGTTTATTGGTTTCCTCAATTAACTTCAAATGTCAAAAAGTTTCAAACTATGGCAATAATCTCAAGTTTGTATTTGCCTGAAAATAAAGTTTGGTGTTTCATCATTCCTTCATCAGCAAAACTATAGCCAGCAGAATCGGTGCCCGGCCTTGGTGAAAGGGAAGTATGAGCTGTCCCTGACTTTGCAGAGAGGCCCCACTGAGATGGCCTAGACCAGAACTTCTCTGGCAACAGCTTCAGGTCAACTCTCCTCCTCTTTCATCCCAGGCAAATGGCAGCACAGTGCCTAGGCATCAGAAGTTTTTTAGTGAAGTAAAGTATGAAAAACTCACTATGAACTCACCTGTAGTCTCTTAAGTCAAATAGGCACTATCAACCTCAAAAGTCCAGAGACAAATTGTAAATCATCATTTTTATTCATTTTTATTGTATTTTACAGAAGCTTTACATTCTATATAAATCTACAGAATGAGAAACCCTCTGATGCCACCCATACATGTCGCTGGAACCTACTAATACTACAAATAAGTCTTTCTCTGTTTGTAGTATTGAAGTACTCTTGAGAAATGCCAGGATTTTCCTACAGCAAGTCAGAGTTATGGGGAAGAATGGAAAGAACTAAAATGAAAATCTTAAAAAAAATAAGTTATAAAAGGAAGAAGAGAGGGCTGCCATTGCTAAAGTCTCTCTCTAATGCGACTAGAGAGGCATAGAAGTATGAGAAATTCAATTAATACTGTGCTTTATTCACATCATGTCTAACAAGAGGACTATTGGCTTCATTTTACTACTCTCTAGATGGAAGATTCCAAACATACTGGATAGGTTAACAATAAGCTTCTATGGGGACATTCAGATTATGTATCATAGTTAAGGTTTAATTCACAATAATGCACACAAACACAAATGCACTAGAAGAGGCTGACAGAATCATTTATCTGGGTTTTCTCTGAAACAATGCCTCATGCAGGTCAGCAAAGTTCAAGATGTGTTTTTGCAAAGTGATCCTATGGCTGTATGCAGAGGTCCATGGAAGACAGCACTTTTGCTGCCCCATGGGCCGACCATTAATGTCCCTCGTGTGCGGTAGAAGAGTTGTCCCCTCAAGCTGTGGAGGGACATCAATGTGGACCTTGGGGAGCTACGCACCAGGGATTGACATGGAAACTCACTCGGGCTCCTCTGCAGTCTCCCTTGGAAAGGGAAGAGTGAACCTTGCCCAGTCCTTCCTGTCCTCATTTCTCCTTAGAGAGGATTCAGGTCTGGACCCCAAATGGAGGAAGAGCTTTCTAGTAGATCTGATCCAGACACCTGCTTGACAGCAGAGCACAGGATTTCCACTGTCTTTTGTACCGTGTTTCCTACAGACATCATAAAAAGGTCCTCTCCTCAACACAAAAATCCTTAGATCACACACACAAAAAAAAAAATCACTGTAGAAAGCCCAGTTGCCCATCTCCAGGCTGGAGATTGCCCTCCAGGAGCCAGGTGCCCCTCAGGAAATCATCTAACTTTGCAAAAAAAGAAGACCACCAGGACAAAATAAGGATCTAAGATTATTCCATCATCTTTAAGGAAACTAGCCAAGGCTACAAAATCCTTCAGAGTGAGAGTTTCTCACCTGCTCAATATCTTGATCACTGATTTCTTCAAGGTACTTTTTAAATGGATTGGGTTGATAGGACTCCTCCTTTTGCTGTGCACTCTGTCATCTACCCAGCACAGGCCGACTAACACTTGGTTCTGTCTTGACCCATAGCACACCCAGGAGAAAAGAGACAGAAGAAAAATAAAATAAAATATTTCACAATTTACAGAATATTTGTTAGACAAGTCAATTCCAGTGGGGCTGCACTGAAGAGATTTTTTAAAATTTTATTCATACCATATTTCAGCAGCAAAATTATTCAGGTATCATGCTGCCAGGCCTACTTTTAATATGATTGTGGACAGATATGGCAAGAGCCGTTTTTATGCACAGAACCTCATCACTGACATCTGTTTATTACCAATACAAAAATAGATGCTGGGCTGTCAGACTATGGTTTATGGGCTTTCCTGGCTGTTTTTGCTAGCTGTTCGGCTGCATCTTGGTAAGTTCATCAAGTCACACTTTATGCACAACCACACATCTGCTTTCACACTGAAAATTCCTTTCTGGGCTCCTCAAAACAGAAACTGTGAAATAAGGAAGGGCAACACATGATGCTGTTAACTCACATCCAGGCAGCAACATATTAAGGGAAAATCTTTTGGAGAATAATAGCAGTGATTGCATGCTGAATTTTGACAGTATCTTCAAGAATTCACTTGGAAAAGTACAATTTTAGACTATTTAATCAGCATGGATGTGTGATACCCGTTGTTTCAGACGGATTGGATTATTTAACAAAGAAAAAATTTATTGATTAACTGCCAGCCAACCAAAGAATTTACTATTAACTTGTCAATTTAGTACATCTGTGATTTTCAGGATTCTTACCATAAAGTCTGATATCATAAATTGTGGCATAAATTCTAAATGGAGGCTAGGGGATAATTTTAATTGTCCAGTAAACAAAGAAAAGGAAGAAAAAAGTGTACATTCTTACTGGAATTTGGTAAGTACTTGTGTCCTGAAGGGGTCTGTGGTTGAATTTAAACTGTTGAATAAGTCAGTTATATTCTTCTCTCGTCCAGCTACCTCATAGAAAATGGGCGGTCTTTGTCACAGCTGGTACAGATAACAACAGGACTGCTGCTGAGCTCCTTCTGTGGTTTCAGTCCAGAGGCACAGCTTGCCCAGCTGGGGCTGAGAAATAAGTGCTGCCACATCTCCCTATCCTCAGTACCCAGCAGGGTATAAAAATGCAGAGAAGAAACTTGATTCACTATTAGATTTATTTATAAGATTTAGACTATGTACATTTAATAACTCCATGCTGCCTATTTGCAAGAGCAATACACTTAAGCAGTCTGTCTGGAAAAAAGAAAAGCTTACTGTGAAAGTACGCTTAAAATGATGCAGTCGAGATTGCTGGATGTATCAAGTAAACTGTGTTATGGGTCGCCTTAAAATAAGATCTGCAGGCACCCAGCAAGGACAGGGCAAGAGGGGTGCCCATTGGAGGGGAGGGTGAAAGAGGCAGGAGATGTCCCCATGTCTTGTGCTTCTGCCTCAGCCCTTGGAAAGGACAGAGCAGTAGCCAGGGGCTGAGTGGAAGGCAGCAGCGGTGGGAGAAGCACAACACACCTGGGAGAAGCAAGGCCCAGGCAGCAAAATATCTTCCCTTAGATTTGTGCTTTATCCCCTCCCTCCTTTCCACATATAGGGGCCTTTTCAACTGCCTCATCAAACAAGATAAAACATATTCAACCCTAAGCAAAAAGTCAGCCATGAAGTGATACTAATTTTTTTAAAAGAGTAATAACTGCAAAGTTGCATTAAAAACTTTTTCATTAAAAAGGTCAATTTAGTGAAAGATATGGTGCTCATTTCATGAATTTATAGTCCATAGTTCATGACTATTTCTTTGTAGGATTCACCATAAAATACTTGTTTTCCTCTCTAAGAGTTCTGAGAAGAGTTTGTAAAAGTGAAAGAGTCCTGGCTCTCATCAGAAAGGTAAATATAAAAATAAAAAGAAAGCTACAGTTGTTATCAAGTCATCATTACACAGACAAAGGACTTGTGGCCTTCTAGCACTCCTCCACACCATGTAACCATGCAATTAAAAGCCCAGTGAGGTACCTGAAATCATCAAGGATAAGCTACTTTCCTTATATAGGAAAACTCTTCCAAAAGCACGCTGTAGAAACACTTTTAAGGAAGCATTTTCTAAAAAACATTGCACACCAAGCGCTGAGTCATATGTTTATGTCTGATTCTGCTTACAGAGTGGCAGATATCAGCCAGAAACCAGAATTTGAAATGCTTTATTAGCTCCCTGCCAAGATATATCAAATCTTTGATCCAAAACTAAGAACTTGAACTCTTTCTTAGATAGCGGGCGGCACAACTGACACTGCTGAGAAATAAGCTAAGACTTAGTTTTGCCAAGGAAAGTGTTGGTCTTCCTACAACAGTACTGAAAAATGGAAAAGGCTGTTACGGTAGCAATGGGATGCTTTCATATGTCTACAGCCCTACTAGCAAAATAGAGGGCCAAGACACAAGCTCTAGAGCTGACCCATAATTGGTTGTACTGATTCGGTGCCAGGGTGCTCCCTGGCATGGTTTTGGCCCAATTCAGCAAGTGTACAGTCAGAAATAGGAGGATAGGTTGGGCCAAGGTGCCTCTCGATAGGCAGTGTGGACATGGCCACCCTTTGTCAGAGATAGAAGTTATTTTGGCCGTGTGAAAATGAGCCTTGCATGATATTTGCCTCAAAAGTCAGAAGACTGAACTCATCAGCAGGTGTATGGGCATGTTCACCTCTGATTGTTTCCTTTGTTATGATGACACTGGTTGTCCCTAAGATCTTGCTGAAACTGGTGAATAAGGTCCCAGCTGCAACCCCATTCCTTTCAGCAGAGGCCTACAATCCTTTGAGTCCCGTGTTTCTCCTGTCTGGGTCACTGTCACTTCCCCTTATCCAGACTACTCAGAGATCCCCATAGATATCAATGACTGCAGTCACTCTTTGCAGTGTTCTGTGTCACTACAGGGACATTAAACCATTCTGGATACCTGAACAGCTTTCCTGTAAACAAGAAAGTTGCCTCTTAATGTTTAACAAGGAATGGGTTTTTAATACATTTTTTGATGCAGTGCCGTTTTGAAGCAGCCTGCCTCTGAAAAAAACAGACAAATGATTAATAAAAATATGATATGATCAGGTTAAAATATGTGACAAAACAGGAGAGCTAGCCTTGGGATAAGAGAGTTAGCTGCCCTCTTTCTTTTCTTTCAGCTCTGAGTCCGTCAGACCTCACTTGACAAATAGCAAGCACCAAGTCTACTTGTTTGTCTGCACAGCCTTTATAACCAACTTTCTGTACAAAGAGTCTCTTGCAGTCTTTGAAGCCTTCTGCTTCAAATGGGATAACCAAAGAGTTTCCTCATGGAGAGAAACCGTTCCCAGTCCTTTCCAACAAACTCATTAGTTTTGGGGAAAGGAACACTGAGGCAGATGGGGTAAGTAAGCAATGTAGCATGCCTCAGCCAATGCAGTCATCTGTCAGCACTGAGAAGTCAGAGTCACCTGGGAAGCCTCTGAACTGTTGAGAGCACCTGCTTTCAGATAGTGAGGAATTAGCTTCCTTGTGATGAAGGAGCATTGCAGTTTCCACTGTCAGCAAAAAGATGCTTTTTGCCCTAACAATATAAACATAGTTGCTTCATCTAGTTGAAGCGTGAAATACCTTAAAATACTCCCCTTGTATGTCTTTTCTGCCACAAATTAGCCTTCACAATGGGAAATATGTTATTGAACGTATTAGTTTATTTTTATTTTCCCTTGTAGACACCTTACTCTTGCAAAAATGCAATAAAACATTCCAGGCAGTGTATCAGTGTACAATGAAGTTCTCCTTTAGTACATTTGAAGGTGTGAAGGCATGTAACTCTGGTTAAAAGGATTTTCTCTTCCTCCAGCTAAATAGTTTACTATTTATCATTCACATCACTGAACAGCCTAGGAAGGAAGGACAATTATTTTCTCCACCTCCATGCTGAAAAAGTAGCAGATCTTGCACCAGAGCACAGAGAACAAGGACAGTCACCTGTTTGAAATTCAAGCTGTCTTTATTTTTATTCATACTGAAATATTTGCATTTCAAGAAACAGCTGTTTTTTCAACAAGATGTCTGATACTATACTATATTATGATTTCCACTGTCTCTGTGCTAAACTAAGCCAAAACTAAAATCAATGGGTTTAATCCTTTTCCATTCTACTCACAGTACAGGGATAAGTCTTTTGCTTAACAGATGGTGAAAAGGGACAGGCCCACAGTAAGAGTAGTGTGAAGGGGGCACTCACCTCTGCTGCTGTTGTGGGACAAGCAGAGGAACAAGTTTGCAAGTTCAGGACCAGAAAAGGGAGCAGGTTTGGCCAGACGCTGCTCACTCCCAGCCTGGTGGCAGAGAGGGGGCTAAGGGCAGCCCTTAGCACTGACATTGCTCTCTGCTTCCCTCTCTACTTCCTTCCCTTTCTCTAGGAAACTCTTCTAGCACATTTAAGTTCCCTTCATTCGTATTTTCCTTTGGTATACCATGAATCTCTTTCATTTAATACTTTGTTTTGTGATCACAGAATCACAGAATTGTAGGGGTCAGAAGACACCTCTGGAGATCATCTAGTCCAACCCCTCTGCCAAAGCAGTTCACCTACAGCAGGTTGCACAGGATTGCATCCAGGCGGGTTTTGAATATCTCCAGGGAAGGAGACTCCACAACCTCCCTGGGCAGCCTGTTCCAGGGCTCTGTCACCCTTAATGTAAAGAAGTTTTTCCTCATGTTGAGGCAGAACTTCCTGTGCTCCAGTTTGTGCCCGTTGACCCTTGTCCTGTCACTGGGCACCACTGAAAAGAGTCTGGCCCCATCCTCTTGACACCTGCCCTTTAGATATTTGTAAGTGTTGATGAAGTCCCCTCTCAGTCTTCTCTTCTCCAGGCGAAACAGACCCAGGTCTCTCAGCCTTTCCTCATAAAAGACATGCTGCAGTCCCCTCATCATCTTCGTAGCTCTCCGCTGGACTCGCTCCAGTAGTTCCTTGTCCCTCTTGAACTGAGGGGCCCAGAACTGGACACGGCACTCCAGATGTG